TTTCCTGTCACTGTGGGCTGCACAGCACAGTAGTACACAGCAGAGTCTGTCACTGCAGCAGAGGAGATCTGCAGATCCAGATCGGTTTTATCATCACTCACTTTAGCAGACCATCTAGAGTTTGTTGCATTTTGTGTTCCCAAGTGAAAGATGAGGAACTCTGGTGGTTTTCCTGGATATTGTCGATACCAGAAGAAATAATCACTACCATCAGCTTTTTTAGAGTATGTGTAGGACAGAGTAACAGAGCTGCCTTCTAAAGTGAACTCTTCATTCCTGACTGCAGTGAGTTCTTCACAGCTGACACCTGAAGGAAGAGATAACTCTGTTATTTCATGTTGTAAAAGACTCAACAAATGAATCCCATCCAGAAAAGTTAGTAATGAAACTTTCTCAGCAGGATCTCACATACCTGTTAGAATGGATAGTAACAGTAGAGAAAGTACATAATAGTCCAATGACAGCATGTTGAATAAAGGGAATGTTTCTGCTTTGTGTATTGAACTCTGCTGAATATGGAAGTTCCTCTCTCTTCTATAGTTCACTAACAGCTTAGCTCCTCCCTCAATCTCTCCGTCTCCTCGCAGCTCTGGATTTTCACTTCTCTCTGTTCCACTTCCTACCTTACCAGTAAATTCCACAGGATGTGAAAGTTTTTGCTTTATTTTCTGTAAATGAGACGTAGGTAACACTTTATTTTAAGGTGCTTGTAATAGGCAGTAATTAACAGTTAATAAGACACTTATAAGACCTTATAGGATGCTTATAAACAACAATAGAAGTGTTAATTAAAGCCTAATAAACTATTAATTGATTAATTATTGCTTATAAGACAATTATAGGCCTTTATTAGAGCTATAAGTTATATATACCTCATGAATGCGAGATTGGACATCACATTGTAATTTGCACTCCTAATACAGCTACCCTTTATACTTCAGTACATTTCTTATTTTCTTAGACAACTAAGATGGTTTGTGAAGGTTTTATCTTGTTCCTGTCGACTTTAAATGTGTATTTTATGACGATAAAATGATGTTAATTTGAATAGCTGTTAGCTTACACGACATGCCTTATTTTATATCTGCATGCTAATGTTAGTTTAAACTACATGCCTTATTTTATATCTGCATGCTAACATTAGCTTAAACTACATGCCTTATTTTATAGCTGCATGCTAAAGTTAGCTTAAACTACACGCCTTATTTTATAGCTGCATGCTAAAGTTAGCTTAAACTACACGCCTTATTTTATAGCTGCATGCTAATGTTAGCTTAAACTACATGCCTTATTTTATAGCTGCATGCTAATGTTAGCTTAATCTACATGCCTTATTTTAAACGACATGCCTTATTTTAAACTACATGCCTTATTTTATAGCTGCATGCTAATGTTAGCTTAATCTACATGCCTTATTTTAAACGACATGCCTTATTTTAAACGACATGCCTTATTTTAAACTACATGCCTTATTTTATAGCTGCATGCTAATGTTAGCTTAAACTACATGCCTTATTTTATATCTGCGTGCTAATGTTAGCTTAAACTACATGCCTTATTTTATAGCTGCATGTTAAAGTTATCTTAAACTACATGCCTTATTTTATAGCTGCATGCTAAGGTTAGCTTAAACGACATGCCTTATTTTATAGCTGCATGCTAAAGTTAGCTAAAACAACTCGCCTTAATTTATAGCTGCATGCTAAAGTTAGCTTAAACAACTCGCCTTATTTTATAGCTGCATGCTAACATTAGCTTAAACTACATGCCTTATTTTATATCTGCATGCTAAAGTTAGCTTAAACAACTCGCCTTATTTAATAGCTGCATGCTAACATTAGCTTAAACTACATGCCTTATTTTATATCTGCATGCTAAAGTTAGCTTACATGACATGCCTTATTTTATATCTGCATGCTAATGTTAGTTTAAACTACATGCCTTATTTTATAGCTGCATGCTAAAGTTAGCTTAAACGACATGCCTTATTTTATAGCTGCATGCTAAAGTTAGCTTAAACAACTCGCCTTAATTTATAGCTGCATGCTAAAGTTAGCTTAAACATCTCGCCTTATTTAATAGCTGCATTCTAACATTAGCTTAAACTACATGCCTTATTTTATAGCTGCATGCCAAAGTTATCTTAAACGACATGCCTTATTTTATAGCTGCATGCTAAAGTTAGCTAAAACAACTCGCCTTAATTTATAGCTGCATGCTAAAGTTAGCTTAAACAACTCGCCTTATTTAATAGCTGCATGCTAACATTAGCTTAAACTACATGCCTTATTTTATATCTGCATGCTAAAGTTAGCTTACACGACATGCCTTATTTTATATCTGCATGCTAATGTTAGTTTAAACTACATGCCTTATTTTATAGCTGCATGCTAAAGTTAGCTTAAACGACATGCCTTATTTTATAGCTGCATGCTAAAGTTAGCTTAAACAACTCGCCTTAATTTATAGCTGCATGCTAAAGTTAGCTTAAACAACTCGCCTTATTTAATAGCTGCATTCTAACATTAGCTTAAACTACATGCCTTATTTTACAGCTGCATGCTAAAGTTAGCTTAAACGACATGCCTTATTTTACAGCTGCATGCTAAAGTTAGCTTAAACTACATGCCTTATTTTATAGCTGCATGCTAAAGTTAGCTAAAACAACTCGCCTTAATTTATAGCTGCATGCTAAAGTTAGCTTAAACAACTCGCCTTATTTAATAGCTGCATGCTAACATTAGCTTAAACTACATGCCTTATTTTATATCTGCATGCTAAAGTTAGCTTACACGACATGCCTTATTTTATATCTGCATGCTAATGTTAGTTTAAACTACATGCCTTATTTTATAGCTGCATGCTAAAGTTAGCTTAAACGACATGCCTTATTTTATAGCTGCATGCTAAAGTTAGCTTAAACAACTCGCCTTAATTTATAGCTGCATGCTAAAGTTAGCTTAAACAACTCGCCTTATTTAATAGCTGCATTCTAACATTAGCTTAAACTACATGCCTTATTTTATAGCTGCATGCTAAAGTTATCTTAAACAACTCACCTTATTTTATAGCTGCATGCTAAAGTTAGCTTAAACTACATGCCTTATTTTATAACTGAATGCTAATGTTAGCTTAAACAACTCACCTTATTTCATAGCTGCATGCTAACATTAGCTTAAACAACTCACCTTATTTCATAGCTGCATGCTAAAGTTAGCTTAAACAACTCACCTTATTTCATAGCTGCATGCTAAAGTTAGCTTAAACGACATGCCTTATTTTATAACTGCATGCTAAAGTTAGCTTAAACGACATGCCTTATTTCATAGCTGCATGCTAAAGTTAGCTTAAACGACATGCCTTATTTTATAACTGCATGCTAAAGTTAGCTTAAACGACATGCCTTATTTCATAGCTGCATGCTAAAGTTAGCTTAAACGACATGCCTTATTTTATAGCTGCATGCTAAAGTTAGCTTAAACGCCATGCCTTATTTTAGAGCTGCATGCTAAAGTTAGCTTAAACGACATGCCTTATTTCATAGCTGCATGCTAAAGTTAGCTTAAACGACATGCCTTATTTCATAGCTGCATGCTAAAGTTAGCTTAAACGACAAGTCTTATTTTATAGCTGCATGCTAACGTTAAGTGTCAATATTAATGAAAATGTATTTCATAAGCTGCCTATAAATATTAAGATTTTTTAACCCTAACCCACTACAAGTGTCTTACAAGGAAATAACATTTCTGTTAATTTATCAATAACCAGCCCTTATAAAATGTTAATAAACAGCTTAATAATGTTTATGACAGGTAAATAAACATCAACAAGTTCCTAATAAGGGCCTATAAGTGTCTTATCAATAATAAATGAGTTAATTGTGCTTTAGTTAACACTTATTTGTGTTATAAACATCTTTATAAAGTGTTTGATTATTTTTTAATTGCTGCTTATTAACTGTTAATTACTGCTTATTACAAGCACCTTCAAATAAAGTGTTACCGAGACATATTTATATTTACTGGTGTTCTTAATTCTCTGCAATTATGCTTTTCTTTCTTTCTGATTTTCTTTTTTATAAGTCAGCCAAAGTGAAAGCACTTGTGATTAACTTAAAGAAAATAGAGCTCACAGCCAGGTGCTGAGTTCATCAGTCAGTTATCGTCTATTCCATAAACCAATCACAATGTGTTTTAAGACTCCATATTATTGACATGGTGTCATGGTTTTGGGTTTTGATGTTGTTATTTTCTATTTTATGTTGTATCTCCTGTGTCTTGTCTTACTTTATTTCCTGCCCTCGTGTTTTCCCGCCCGTTTGATTGGCTGCCCTGTCCTAATTAGTTTCACCTGTGTCTACTTAATCTCCCCTCACTTGTGTGTTTAGTCTGTGCGCCTGCCTTGTCTTTGTCTATATGTCAAGCTTTCTAGCCATTTCCCAGTGTTTTCCTGTGTTTTGGATTTTTGGCCTGATGTATTAGACCGTTTAGATTTGGTTTATTGCTGCTTCCTTTGGATGTGTTTGCTATGTGTCTGCCTGTGTGGACCTTGGCCTGCCTCAGCTTGCTGTAAGTCAGTGTACTCTTTTATTTTGAAAACCATAAAACTGAACCTGCCTCTGGTTCTGGGTCTGGTCCACTCTGTTCCTCTTTGCCCAATTGAACTTACTGTGACACAAAGATATTATCTCTGTATGTTCCCTTTGCCTATAGGTTTAAAAATCATGATTGAAAAACCCTCGAGGAAGATCATTCAGAGACATCCCCTCCTAATGAAAGGCTTCCTGCTAAGTGTTGTTAAAATGTTTTATACCTATAAGACATTACAAATATTTCATTGATTTATGTAGAATATAAGTAATTTAAGACTTCATCATCACACTGAAGTTTAACAGTGTGTGACTCCCTCTAGTGGACGTTGTGGAGTATTCTGTTGTCTTTGCTCCAAAGGTTTTTGTACAGAGTTTTGGTGTTTCCTGTCACTGTGGGCTGCAGAGCACAGTAGTACACAGCAGAGTCAGACAGCTGAAGCTTCTGGATCTTCAGAGGAACTGATCTTGAGGTGGAATCCAGTGTGGATGAAAATCTCTCCTTGTACTCGTCCTCTGTTTTCCCCTCACCGATCTTAAAGCGGCTCAGTATGAATTCAGGGCTGTTGTTTCCATCCTGTTTGTACCAGAAGAGATATGGACTTTGAGAACTGGTGTTATATAGACAGCCAAGTGTTACTGGCTCTCCTTCGGCAGCAGTCACGTCTCCTTCTGGTTGCAGCACGTTGTCTTTTTGTGCTCTGCATTCTGTAAAACAGCAACAAACAGTATCAGTGTGCTGTTAAAGAATCATGTCAATGTTGGATTGATATCAGAGAACCAGAGTTGTGTTCATACCAAGGCACACAGCAGCCAGCAACACTGAGATGAACAGAGGCGTCATATCTGCAGTGTTGAGGAACTGTGAGCTCCAGCAAGTATAAAGAAGGCTGTGATCTCTCTGTTTAGTCTTCATCAACACTAAGTTGGTGGATTAGAAGGAGGAGCCTGATCACAGTGACGGGGCTCATTCACAGCCCTGTGTTATTCCCCGACTGACAACTTTACACTCAACACATTTTCCTCACTCTCTCCTTTCCTAGTGTGACAATTAGGATCAATTAGTGAATGTTTTTAATATGGTATCAGCATCATGTTAAAGGCCTGTCAGTTTGCCAGCCTGTCCACAGCTTCTCCAGATAAAGGGCTAAAATATGAAGCCTGTTCAGAACACATAAGGATCTCCAAAACCAGCTCGGTGGTGTCGACCATTTCAAACAGGATATTCCACTGAGAGCGAATGGTTAAGAGCTGCTACCACCAGTTTACCACGTAGAGGCTTCAGCGTTACATTGTACAGCAAACACTCGCCACTCTGGCCGACGTTATTTAACCGGTTTATTATTACAAGGCATCAAACCTACAGTCCATAATTTATTGTATTGCAAACAAACATACAGAGTGCAACCAGTAAAGTCTTTCCTTTCCCTCAATTCTGGTTTATATACACTGCTCAAAAAAATAAAGGGAACACTAAAATAACACATCCTTTCTTTACATAGTTGAATGTGCTGACAGCAAAATCACACACAAATGATCAATGGAAATCAAATCTATCAACCCATGGAGGTCTGGATTTGGAGTCACACTCAAAATCAAAGTGGAAAACCAAACTACAGGCCGATCCAACTTTGATGTAATGTCCTTAAAACAAGTCAAAATGAGGCTCAGTAGTGTGTGTGGCCTCCACGTGCCTGTATGACCTCCCTACAACGCCTGGGCTCCTGATGAGGTGGTGGATGGTCTCCTGAGGGATCTCCTCCCAGACCTGGACTAAAGCGTACGCCAACTCCTGGACAGTCTGTGGTGCAACGTGGCGTTGGTGGATGGAGCGAGACATGATGTCCCAGATGTGGTCCATTGGATTCAGGTCTGGGGAACGGGCGGGCCGGTCCATAGCATCAATGCCTTCCTCTTGCAGGAACTGCTGACACACTCCAGCCACATGAGGTCTAGCATTGTCTCGCATTAGGAGGAACCCAGGGCCAACCGCACCAGCATATGGTCTCACAAGGGGTCTGAGGATCTCATCTCGGGACCTAATGGCAGTCAGGCTACCTCTGGCGAGCACATGGAGGGCTGTGCGGCCCCCCAGAGAATTGCCACCCCTCACCATTACTGACCCACCGCCAAACCAGTCATGCTGGAGGATGTTGCAGGCAGCAGAACGTTCTCCAGACTCGGTCACGTCTGTCACATGTGCTCAGTGTGAACCTGCTTTCATCTGTGAAGAGCACAGGGCGCCAGTGGCGAATTTGCCAATCTTGGTGTTCTCTGGCAAATGACAAACGTCCTGCACGGTGTTGGGCTGTAAGCACAACCCCCACCTGTGGATGTCGGGCCCTCTTCCCACCTTCATGTAGTCTGTTTCTGACTGTTTGAGCAGACACATGCACATTTGTGGCCTGCTGGAGGTCATTTTGCAGGGCTCTGGCAGTCCTCCTCCTGCTCCTTGCAGAAAGGCAGAGGTAGCAGTAGGTTGTTGCCCTCCTACGGCCTTCTCCACGTCTCCTGATGTACTGGCCTGTCTCCTGGTAGCGCCTCCGTGCTCTGGACACTACGCTGACACAGCAAACCTTCTTGCCACAGCTCGCATTGATGTGCCATCCTGGATGAGCTGCACTACCTGAGCCACTTGTGTGGGTTGGAGACTCCGTCTCATGCTACCACTAGAGTGAAAGCACCGCCAGCATTCAAAAGTGACCAAAACATCAGCCAGGAAGCATAAGAACTGAGAAGTGGTCTGTGGTCCCCACCTGCAGACCCACTCCTTTATTGGGGGTAAATGTAAAAATGTAAATGCTCCGTACTTGTATAGCGCCTTTCTAGTCTTTTCAACCACTCAAAGCGCTTTTACACTACATCTGCATTCACCAGTCACACACATTCATACACTGAGCCTAAGTGCTCAAACGGAAACTAACATTCACACTCACTCATGCCACTGGTGGCTATTCCGCCAGTGGCAATTCGGGGTTCAGTATCTTGCCCAAGGACACTTAGACACGAAACCGCCGACCTTCCGATTAACGGCCAACCCGCTCTACCTCCTGAGCCACAGCCGCCGCGGGCTGTCTTGCTAATTGCCTATAATTTCCACCTGTTGTCTATTCCATTTGCACAACAGCATGTGAAATTGATTGTCAATCAGTGTTGCTTCCTAAGTGGACAGTTTGATTTCACAGGAGTGTGATTGACTTGGAGTTACATTGTGTTGTTTAAGTGTTCCCTTTATTGTTTTGAGCAGTGTAGCATATCTGCCCTAAATGGTAGGTTTCATCACTTTTATTCGATTTAGCAGGAAACCCATTTATCAAAATGTCTTGTTTTATCTTTCTCAGTTGTAAATTTTATAACTGAGGATTTTAAGAGCTGTTTTCTACTCAGTTCTCGCTTTACTCTAACTACTACTTTACTCCTGTTTAATCTGTAGTTTCTATACATACAGTATATTTATATTATTTACTTTAAATACTTTACTCGCACAATTCTATTATAGTTGTCACATTTCAGGACAAATCAAAACATGAGACAAAATAAATCACCTACAAAACACATGTCCAGCTCCAGACAAATTCTCCCTCTATCATTTCATGCTTCATCACTTGGTCATCCATGAATTCTTTTCTGTTTTGTAAACTATTTCATGGACTATGATCCTTTCACAAATGTTTTAATCTCCAGACTGGATCCTGTAAATCTGACAGATGCAGAGTCAGAGCCTTGACTTCATGTGTTTTTCCAGAATGGATATTTGAACCATTTTCTCCTGAAGGATCAAACAGCAGTGGAGAGAAAGGACTTCCTTGGTGGAGGACTCTCAGCGGATTTTGGTTGTCAGAGGATTTTCAGTGTGATAGTCTCTCATTTATGTGAATAACACCTGATGTTATAAAGTTACCATCCAATAACTAATAATTATTTTGTGTGACGTGATTCAAAAACACTTCAGAACTGCTAGGAAAATCTTCCAAGGTTTTACCTAGTTAGACACATTTATATAGAAATATTTTTAGTTTTGTTCCTAAATGAGACGATATCTTTTAAAAAACATCCACTTAAACATTTTTTTTTATATGAAAACAAATTTTTTTTTCATGAACACTGAACCAATATTCTCATTATTATATATCTATAATATTTAAAGAAATGCTCACACAGTGTTACTATGGTTACCTTGGTGAAATGTAAAGTTCAGAGTGAAGAAGTTACAAGTGGTTTCATTTCTAAAGCTTTAAATGACAAAGAGTAAAGTGGATCCAACCTGCATCATCACACTGAAGTTTAACAGTGTGTGACTCCCTCTAGTGGACGTTGTGGAGTATTCTGTTGTCTTTGCTCCAAAGGTTTTTGTACAGAGTTTTGGTGTTTCCTGTCACTGTGGGCTGCAGAGCACAGTAGTACACAGCAGAGTCAGACAGCTGAAGCTTCTGGATCTTCAGAGGAACTGATCTTGAGGTGGAATCCAGTGTGGATGAAAATCTCTCCTTAAACTCTTCCTCTGTTTTCCCTTCATCCCGTTGAACGCGGCTCAGTATGAATTTGGGGCTGTTGTTTCCATCCTGTTTGTACCAGAATATATATTGACCTGTGTTAGTCGTCTCAAAAGTACAGTCAAGTGTAACTGTGTCTCCTTCAGCAGCAATGACATCTCCTGCTGGCTGGGTCACTCTGTCTTCTCCTTTACACTCTGGGGAAGAAGAGAACATGCAGAGGAAGAGATGGATCAATAAAGATGATTGATTAAAGGAGAACAATCAGTAGGTTTAAAGAGTTACCTAGCCAGAGAGCCAGAATCAGGATGTTTCTCAGCCAGTGGTTCATGTCTGCAGTGAGAGGGGAGGAGAGAGAGGAAGAACATTGATACTCTGATGGATCTGGGCTTCACATCATTGGCCCTTCCTCTTCATCATCTGTTGTCTTTTCTGACCTTGAGTCCCAGTTTTGCTCCTCCCTTAATCCCTCCCTCCTTCCTTTCACAACTCTGACAAATAGTGAGTTTGTCTCTGCTGTGGTGCTGTAATTCACTACATGACATCATTTCCATCAGTTAACAAGACGCTGATAAGGTAAAACTGGTTGACTCTTGACAGAACATGTGAAGGTCCTGACTGAGGTCAATCTTTAGACAGACGATATACAACTATTCAATTACACATGACAGCCACATTACTTATTCAATACATTACTCAAACAGTACTATTCACATTATTACATTTGTGTCACATTTTCGGACAAATCATATCATGAGACGTCTTTACAAAAATAAATTGAGTAAAGTAGATGTTAAGCTCCAGAGAGGAAGATTGTTTGCATATGTCAAATTTTCCTTCTATTGTTTCATGCTTGATCATTACTTGGTCATCCATGAATTCTGTTCTGTTCTGTAAACAATTTAATTGACCATCATTGGTTTACAAATGTTTTAATCTCCAGATTGGATCCTGTATATTTGACCAAGGGCATCGTAGTGGGGGGTGAAAGCATTTAGCAATTATAGTCATTGCATAGAAGTAAATGTTGAAAAAGGTTGAAATGTGTTGACATTTCGGATGACATGTGTGTTGGAGGGGGGTTTTGGGGGGTGGGGGCAGTGGGTAATGGGGGTGGGGCACAGGGACTGCTTACAGAATTTGTGCAACGACCCGGTATATCTGACAGATGCTGAGTCAGAGCCTTGACATCATGTGTTTTTACAGAATGGACATTTTAATTATTTACTCCTTAAGGATCAAACAGCAGTGGAGAGAAAGGACTTCCTTGGTTGAGAACTCTCAGCTATTAGGCTGCTGATAGTCTCTCTTTATATAAACACAATCCAACATCATTATCATCCTTTGTCGGAATTGATTTAAAATAACATTTCAGAACTTGTAGTATCTTCCACATGCTGCTGCTGCATTGTTTTGTTTTGTTTAATCACCAGCACCACAAATTCAGATCATAAACCACTGAAGTTTAACAGTGTGTGACTCCCTCTAGTGGACGTTGTGGAGTATTCTGTTGTCTTTGCTCCAAAGGTTTTTGTACAGAGTTTTGGTGTTTCCTGTCACTGTGGGCCTCACAGCACAGTAGTACACAGCAGAGTCTGTCACTGCAGCAGAGGAGATCTGCAGATGAAACTCCTTTGCTGTTTTGTCATGTTTATAAGAAAACCCTGCTTTCTTTGAATATTCTGCAA